TAGTCTGCCTGCAGGTTCTGGGATGTCTGTGCTATAAAGGTTGTCACCACGGCTGAGAAAAGACCAGCCTGACATGTCGTCAGCGATAAAAATGGTGACAAGAGTTCGATACTCACAAAAACAAGGAGCACGTCGACACTGTCCCTCGATTCCCTGACCATCCTGACGTCGTGATTCGTACTCTCGTCCACGTATGTCCTCCATACTCTCGCATTTGGCGCTGTTTCTTCATAGATTTTATCTTCGGGGTACTTGTCCTCGTAGTTGTATGGGTCATTGCCTATAGATAGCCTTCATTAGCCATCGTTGTAATACCAAGAACCGAAGCAAGAGCAATGATACCTGTCTTTAAACCAGTATCTTGCTTGGACTTCTCTGCACCTCTATCACCCTTGACGCCGGCTGCTTCCTGTATTCCTGGGCTCAACAATGGTTCTACCCCATCTGAATCGACATTTTCTTTGCCAGTCTCCATTTCCTCTGGCTTCTCTTCGTTGTTTTGATGCATTTTCGAGCTATTGTTCTGTGACGACTGTTCTGGGCAGTCCTGTACATTGGAGATACCTTCAGAAGAGCGTCTGCTGGATCCTTCGTCGACTGGGTGTTGGGAAGACATGATTGTTCCACGGCTACCCTGACGTTACAGATGGAGATGAGAAAACCATCCTGTTTAGCGCCGGGTGTCGTGACTCTCCTTTTTGTATGTGGCCGGCTGGATAACATGATGGATTGAGAGAAAGGACAATGCCTGCCGGCTAGGAAGGCTGTGTTTCTTGCGACGCGGTAAACCCTTGACTTGCTTCCGCCAAAAACTGGGTCAGAAAACCTAGAAAAGCACGTCGCGCATCTCACCGACCAATACTGTACAGGATTTTTACTTTATTCGGGCTGACTCCTGTGCATGGAAGCGTCCAAATTCAACGCCATGATGATGATGGCTACCTGTGTGCGGCTTTATTAACGGGTTCGAGTCGGAGGGCACAAAAATTCTTGCCGTCAAATCCAAGTGATCCTGTTTAGAAAGGGCCACGGAACACGGTATGTTGGTATCAGACGATATGCTGGCAATACAGATACGTTGGAAAGAGTGAAAGGGTCGATAAATGTCAGTCAAGTAAATGGGATTGAAGACATTGGTGACGAGGGTAGTCGGTACATATACCAAGCCCGAGCGAGGTTGAGTCTGCGTGGTATCGGATAAAGGTCCGAGGGCGTGGGAATAATGTTTGCCTGAGTTTCTCACTACGATGTTACCTCATCTCGCCTCCTGGATCGCGTCGGAATAAGTAATGCAGGATATTCACTGAGCATGTACGAAATCACGATTTTCTACGACACTGGCTCGGTAATCTCTCGCTCTGACTGGCTATTCATTCAACCAAGAAAGTCCGCCCTCGATGAGCATGGCACGTTTGTTACTCTGCGTTATCTCACCGGATCGGCATTCCTTATAAGAGACGCAGCGCCAATTCTTTGCTACAACATCCGAACACGATGGAGTGTCCCGATACATGAATTGACGATCCTGTTCAAGCTGTTAGGATGGATGTGACGAAGGGTAGGTCACGGAGGACTAGCTTCGAGGATACGGAGATTCTCGATGGTGTACAATGTAGGCCCCAAATCATGGCTATAGGACGGTATCCACTGATGGTAGATCCTCGATGTAGCACGGAGGTGGAAGATGAAGTACGTACGACGAGTTTCCATGATTATTGTAAGATCTCGTTCCCCGACAAGTGCTTGAAGTACTTCCGTCTGCCGCCTGCGTAGGATCTCTATCTCAAACCAGCGCGGTATATTCTCCTCTAGATACACCCGATTTTCCTTGAGTATCTTCTGATTGACTTTTCGAATCACTAGACCTATAACCGCTGATCGTCATGAATGGAAGATCTGGATTCACTTTCAGGGTAGTCTCCCGTACACACCCGCTACGGTAAGGGTGGGGTTGTAGAGACCTAATGATAAGTATTACTGATGCGTTCTTCCTCGGCGCGTGAGCTAGACTTCATCATCACCTCACTGAATATCACCTTAGTACGGTATACCCACAAAATCGGTTACTCTGCAGGGTAACTACTCGAAAATATTGTAGGATAAGTCCGTGGCCTCATATATCAGACAATGGCTGGCGTCACACACATTATGGCACCTAAAGACGTATGGGATCAGACGGATCGCTGGAGTACAAGCCAGGAGACTAACAATGTTCTTTCTTTTCAGTTACCATGCGGCTGCGCAGCTCGGGTAGATCTCTCAGATGGTTTTCGAAAGAGTTCCAGAATGGCTCTGATAAGAACGGACCGTCTGGTGTGCGCTCATAGGGCCGCCGCGGGTTGGTTACGACCTCGCCGCCTAGTACCACTTCGACATGAATCGACCGTATGTCAGCTGCGAATGAAATATATCGGGATGTAAACAGCTTAGCAACAATCTCTCCTAGATTATCGTCGTCATAGTCACTGTCGGACTCCCAAGCTATGCATACCACCTTCAAAGACTGAAGCTGAGGAAGGAGTTCGGTCGTGACAAGCACATCGAATAAGTCGTAAGCGGAGTCCACCGAATGCAATGCGATGTCCAAGCATGTGAGCCTGGATGCCTGGTGGAAAATCCTTGCAAAATCATCCAAGTTCTTGCCCAGTTGAATCGTCAGCTTCCGCATCGGACATTGCGAACGATATAGGAAGTCGTAGAAGAGATCTTTCCCCTGTTTGTGATCGCCTTCCCGTTCGGCACGGGCAGAGAGAAAGCCAATGGACATTTTTTCCAAAGAGGGCAGTGCGGCGGCTCGAAGCAGGGCTGGGTCCGCGACATCAAGATGTCGCAGAGTTGAACATACAATAAAGACGTCGGACTCGTCCGGCTCCCAATTACTAGTGTCGCCTTCCTCATCTTGCTCAGACAGACGCAGAGACTGTAGGTTAGGAGTGATGGAGACGACAGCATAGAGATCATCGGGCGTGATATGATGGTTTATATAAAGACAGGTTATCTGGGACCAAGGGAGGGGAAACTTTTGCACAGGAGACAGGCCTTCTCCCAGAGCCAACTCCCGCAAGCGAGGCGCATCCTCGAAGGCACGGAAATAATCCCAAAAGACGTTTGACGAATTTATAGAACAAAGCTCCAGCCGCTTCAATAATGGAAGACGGCCGTGAATCTGCTGATACAGATCCCCGCTGTCGTCTTCCGAGCCAATGCCGATCGACGCACTCTTCCACCTGTGACTTGTGGGAAGCAAACATTCGAGTAAAGCACGTAGGGTAATTTGTTCGTCGACAGCATCGTCTATCCAAACGGAGAGGCCGATGCTCAAATCGGCATCGCGGGATCTGTCCAGCATGATTTTCAGCAGGGGCACCTGGTTTTCACACTCGTCGTTCCTGTCAGTCCGTAACACAACGTTTAAGTGTCCCCATAACGAGGGTGTCGACATCACCGTCGCCCTCCAGTCGCGACAAACGCTACCAAGCGTGCAAAGCGCGGCATAGACGCGCGTCATGTCGCCAGGGAGCCAGGGACTCTGATCACGGGGTGGTGGGATGGCGATCGCGTGCTGGAAAATTGTTGCGAGAACCTCTGGGGGGAATTTGCGAAAGGATGATATCAGCGCCGAGTGGCTATCGGCAATGCTTTGAAGACGGATTTTCTTCTCTTGCACCTCTTTCAAGATGGCATCGAGGCGCTGAATTTCTCCATGCACCTTTTTCAGGTAATCGTTAACGAGATCAGTGTCCTCGGCTGAGGCGACACCATTGACAGAGATCAGGTCACTGAACGGAGATGGGTTGTCGGTGAGCCACAGTGGTATACTGTCAAAGGCACAGGATTCGGAATCTCTGTTCGTCGAAGTCTGTGGCATCTACTGATTAGCTGGGTCAAGATATGGGTACCAGACAGATACTACTCACCATTCAGAGGAAGGAGTCTGCAAACGAGTAGTGGGAATATAGGTTCGGGGCCATGCAATATATACCGGGTATCCCCTTCCAAATCTGAATACAAAGACTTTTGAAATTTCCAAGCATCATTGTTCTCTGTTGAGTGTTACAAATCACCTGCGCGCACGCTGGAATGGAATTGATTTCGTATACATGATGATCCAGTGACCAACTTATCGTCTTTCATTCATTTGCGACGACTGTCACGGTTGGCTTCGATTCCAACAAGTGAAGACGACCTCGAATTTGCTCATAAACGACCACCGTCTCCGTGTCAACTTCGATCGACGCATGCTTCCACCTGTAACTTGTGTGAACTAACAACCCGAGCAAAATAGGTATGTTTCTTCGCCAAGACTGCCAAACTCGTCGAAATCCTTCAAACTGTAGCCGAAGCTCAAATCAGCCTCGCGAGATCTGGCCAGCATGGTCTTCAACAACGGTTGTTGGCTTTCACATCGTCCATACGATGGCACACCAATGCGAAATTGAGCACATAATGAGGTGTCCACAACCGTCGCCCTCCAATCGCGGCAAACAGTACTAAGCGTGCAAAGCTCGGGGTAGGTGCAATTCATGTCGCCAGGGAGCTATCTTCAAGCGGTGAGATGACAATCGTGACCTGAAAAATTGTTGCGAGAACCTCTGAGGGGAATTTGCGAAAGGACGACATCAGCGCTGAGTGGCTATCGACACCGCTTTGGAGACAGATCCTCCCCTCTTGCACTTCTTTCAGGATAGTGTCGAGGCACTGAATTTCTCCACGTACCTTTTGCTGGTAATCGTTAATGAAAATGGCATCCTTGGGGAATGCGACGCCATTGACAGATCAGGTCACGGAATGGAGATGGGTTGGTGAGCCAGTGTCCTACAGGACTGGGAGCCTCTGTTCGTCGAAGTTTGTGGCATTACAACTCCTACTGATTAGCTGAGTAAGAAATGCGTGGACACACAAAGCATACTCACCATTCAGGAGGACCTCCGCAAAGGAGCTCAACCTACCGCAAGTAATTACACATAATAAGGACTGAAACCTGCCATTACTTGCTCGGTTCGGATATGTTGCAATGGCTAATAATGCTGCCTTTTAAGTTCTAAGTTTTTGCGGCAGCTCGGGGTTCGATTCCCCGTATCCGAAATGTGCGATCAGAAATGAATTTGATCATTTTTGTGTCGAAATTCTGAAATGTTGAACTTTGGAGGCCGGCGGCTGAATCAGATTTAGCATTGTTACCGCTCTGTAGACCGATTTTCTACCCCGTGGTAAGGGTGCTACTGCCCCGGTTTGGCTCGAGTCGGCAGCGGAAGCCAGTTTTCATTTTATGTATTTCATATTTTCGCCACTGCTTCCTTTCTTAAAATTGCGACTCTCCTCACTACTCACGACACCACCCTAACTTTCCAGCGACAAGAGCACTACGAAAGTACGATATCTGAACAACGATTGACCTTAGGCGTTGACGCTGGACATAACGTCAGCGGCGCTGCAAAAGGACTCTGTTACAGTGCGTATCGTCCGTCCTATTCGCGCTCTTGCCTTTGTTAACTGGGAAGACTTTGTAGAGAAGCCGGTGTCGCTGAAGAACCTAGCTGTCGATGGCTTCTCAATGAAACGTTGACGAAGTCACTGCCTTCGGACCAATATTCTACTAGGCTAGTGCGCTCATTGTTTCTATCTTTCGTCTGTGCACTGACTTTTACCTTGTTAGTATCATCGACTCACCACCCTTGCATCACTTATCACCACACGCTGCCATCAACGATTACACGTTCACAGCACAGACCTCCATCTGTTTGTTCCAACGACGATCACCGTCGCCACGATGATCCCCTCACCAACATCTTCAGCGACACTCGTCAGCCCCGAGTCGTGCCACCCTCAACAACTCGACTTCAGTGTCACCGTCAAACCCAAAGGACACCTCGAGCCACATGTGAACAACCTACCACGACGAAGGGTAGTGAAGAGGAAGGTTATCACGGAGGAGAGCGAAAGCAGCAACAAAGGGAGCGCAAAAACACATTCTGCACATTCCCCCAGGGCTGTGGGAGAGCCTCAACGTCAATACACGCGTATACAGGCATTGGGGGAGGGAACAGACGTGTATGTCTCTTTGGTGGACGTTGAGGACTGGGATGGGGTTGTGATTCGCGTCGAGGACGAAGGGGAAAACGATCGAGGCGTACCCACTGTGACACGATCGGATTTCTTCGTGACGGCGTCAGGAAAGGTCCTGGTTGTCGGGAGAGTGAACGCGTTTGCTGTGGCACTAGGGCTGCTTTGTCGGAGGAGCCGTAGAGATGTTATAAAGACGTACATGGAGCTGCATGATATCGGCGGATTAGAGGATTCTTGGAGGGGCTTGCTGAGTTGCGAAGGGTTAGAGCGCTTAGTAGAACAGCAGGAGTAAAGGCTAGAGATTGTATCCATAGACATAACGTGTATTGTTAGAAGACTCGCCGATATGGCGAAATAGATGACATTGCTTTTCTGCGTTGGTCTGACTCTTCGTCTTTGAAAAGTCAGAGTCGTTCGAAGAGTATTGTTCTAACACTTTCTGCTCACTCATTCATTCGAGGCAAATGCGACACTTTGGAATAACCTACAAGCAGAGTAGCTTAGAAAAAATCCTGATTACCGGCTGTTCCTGAGCACACTGAGATGCCCCGCCAAGTTTGAACACACACTGAATGGTACCACATGCAAATTGCATTGGAGGTATACAATACTATACATGCATATTGTTACAAATGTCCATTGTCACCACCCATAACAAGATTCGCCGGATTTAGTATCCGTAGTGGGCGTTCCAGGCAGAAGTGTCGTAGTACTTCCTGTCATCTTTCTTATCATCTTTCTTCTTGTCGTCCTTCCTGTCATCCTTCCTGTCGTCCTTCTTTCCATCCTTGTGGTCTTTGTCGTCCTTGCCATCATCACAGTCTTCCTTCCAGGTGTCGATATCGATGATCTCGACAAACAGCTCGCAGACGAACTTGTCATCTTTCTCATCACGTGAGTAAGCTAGAAAGAAGGCGTTAGATGATGCTGGAGCTAGAGTAAGCATCAGATGTACCCTGGCACGAGTTGCATCTGTCGTCCTTCTCGCACAAGCTCTTGCACTCTGAGGAGAAGACGTCATTGACATGGTACAAACACGAAGAGATGTACTTACCGATCTCAAAGTTGATCTTGGTGACTTCCTTGTGCTCGTAGGGAGTGTATTTGCCCTTGTTCCATCCCTTGAAGTCATTCTTGTGCTCGAAAACCGGCTCCCAGGTGCAGTCGCCACGACCACCGTCCTTGCCCTTGTTGCCGTAGTTGTTATCCTTGCTTCCACTGTCATTGTCCTTGTGGTCGACATTGCCGTCCCTAGCCTGGACAGAAGCGGAGAGAGCGGGGACCGCAAGGACCGCAAGAGGGAGAAGAGCAGCAACTGAGAAACGCATCGTGATGAATGTAGGCAAGTAGATAGACGAAGATGAAGTGTCTGTCTGGAGAATCCTGGTAATTTGGGAGCCCTTTATATCTATTCGAAGGCAGATAGTCCTCCACGAAGCAAGTGGCTGTCTCGAACCTCGAGAAACATCATGTTGGAAGTTTGAAACAACATCGAGCGCAAGATGAGGGAACCGTAATCTACTTCAAGACTTGCCAAGACTCAAAGGAGCACACTTCGAGTAGCAGTGACCAAATACAGTGCAGGCGGGAACGTCGGTTTCAGATGTAGCAGGAAAAAAAGCTTGAGCCTGAGAGATACCTGCCATCTGCCATGCGACAGTGACTCCATATTTCGGGTATGCCAAGAACAACGGGTCAGACGAGATTGTAGCAGTAGGTAATTGCTTGGAGGTCAGATTCGTACGGAATGTCACCACTAAGAATAAGGACTTCGAAGTTGTTGACAAAGGCATTCCGATCGGAGTATAGTCGTTGCTTGAATGTCGGCGTTTGCCGTAGCTGTCTTCTCTCTCTCATGGCTTGACTATGTATAGGCGTCATGCTTTACCGAGCGACTCGTGATTTCACTTGGCATGTTTCACTCTTCTGTCCGCTGTGACGTCGAGGCAAGCCGATGATCACCTATTTTCGTTGAGAAAGGACGATGTTTCTTGTTGGACACTGGCTTAATGCATACTACTTTCATTCTCCACACAGCGTTCTTGGCTGGGCTGAAATGTCTTTCTCTCTTAGAAACTGCCACTCGAAAGTGGGTTCTTTTGCAACTTGGCAAGTCCAAACGTCCTTTAACGGGTGGATCACCTCTCGTTGGAATTTGTGTCTCATGTAAGATCGAAGGCTTAATTGGCTAGGGTTGCTCTGACGACGAAATTTCTGAATTTGTAGCTAGTCACCTCAGAAAATATTCAGCAATGCATTGACACCCGAGCTCATTGAACGGTTCAGGACCTTTAAGCTATTGTTGGGGGACTCTAACTCTGCCCCATAAGCGCCATAGAATAACGAGCGACCAGAAACCTCGTCTGGCATCACATTGTTTGGGATTCCTAGTATCGCCGTGACCCTCGAAGGGTAATCGCGCAGAGTCACGACTAACGAGGAACACATGCTTTTGTCTTGAATCTATTTCTCTATGATGACCATCGACTCCCAGCTATCTTCCGAGACTAACGTTACCTACTGACATTCGTTAGGTTTGGTGTCCACCGCACAAGTGAAATCTTTCAGGGCTTGGCAAGTCTTTGATTCACCTACGGCCAGTAGACCCCGCCTGCACGAGCGCCGTTTCGACATGATGTTCTTCAAGTTCACCTGGCTCAGCAAAGAAGGGATATTCGACTAGATATAAAAGGGCTTCCAATTACCAAGATTCTCCAGACATACACTTCATCTTCGTCTATCTATTTGCTTACATTCATCACGATGCGTTTCTCAGTTGCTACTCTCCTCCCTCTTGCGGTCCTCGTGGTCCCCGCCCTCTCCGCTTCCGTCCAGGCTAGGGACGGCAATGTCAACCACAAGGGCAATGACGGTGGAAGCAAGGATAACAACTACAGCAACAAGGGCAAGGATGGTGGTCGTGGCGACTGCACCTGGGAGCCGGTTTTCGAGCACAAGAATGACTTCAAGGGATGGAACAAGGGCAAATACACTCCCTACGAGCACAAGGAAGTCACCAAGATCAACTTCGAGATTGGTACGTGTGTTCCATTGTTCTTTATCCACGTCACTGACGTTTTCTCCTCAGAGTGCAAGAGCTTGTGCGAGAAGGACGATAGATGCAACTCGTGCCAGGGTACATCTGATGTTTACTCTAGCTCCAGCATCATCTAACGCCTTCTTTCTAGCTTACTCACGTGATGAGAAAGATGACAAGTTCGTCTGCGAGCTGTTTGTCGAGATCATCGATATCGACACCTGGAAGGAAGACTGTGATGATGGCAAGGACGACAAAGACCACAAGGATGGAAAGAAGGACGACAGGAAGGATGACAGGAAGGACGACAAGAAGAAAGATGATAAGAAAGATGACAGGAAGTACTACGACACTTCTGCCTGGAACGCCCACTACGGATACTAAATCCGGCGAATCTTGTTATGGGTGGTGACAATGGACATTTGTAACAATATGCATGTATAGTATTGTATACCTCCAATGCAGTTTGCGTGCGGTACCGTTCATTGAATTCGACGTATCTCTGCATTCGTCTTCGTATATCTGTTATCCTGTCCTGATGGAATGGCTGAATATGAATCTGATCATCCTTCTTATCGAATTACCCGTACACCCATGGGTTTACCACGGTAGAATTAGGTTAAATTCGGATGAATTCTCGGAAATTACAGTACATCCAAGGATGTTGGGTGGCCATGTAAGCGATTACACTGCACCTAATGAGAAACACCGACCTTTCTCAATCAATGTATATGAACGATAATCAAACTTTGGGATAGCTACATATATGAGCCGAGCGGGACACAATTAAATACATAAAGACGTATCCTTATTTAAGTAAGTTCGCGTCGTTTGTTGCCGACATGAAGATAAATAACGAGAGCCAATAAATATTGAGAGCGGATAAATAACGAGGGCAAATTTCCCGTACACAGGCGCAAAGCGGATACTGTCTAACAGTTACACAGAGAGGCCTATGCTGTCGCCCTGTAGCTTCTCCTTG